CCGCCGCTCCATCGCAGCGCACGCTGACTCGTGCCCCGCTGGGTGAGCTACCCACCCTCGGATTTGCCTGGCTGTTGCACATCGTCGTGCAATTATATAGTATAGCAGCTTTGCCAAGTGTCGTAGATCTGACACTCGGCAAAGCAGTGTTTGCCGAGTGTTCTAGATCTAACACTCTGCAAATGATTTTATTTATTTTTTATTTATTTTTTGCTGAGTGTCCTAGATCTGACACTCGACAAAGCAGGGTTTACCGAGTGTTCTAGATCTGAGCACTCGGTAAAGTTTTTTTTTATTTTTTTCTTCTTCTTCTTTTCTAAAAAAAATTCTTTGCCGAGTGCCCCCGATCTAGCACTCGGCAAAGTATTTTTTATTTTTTTTAAAATTCTTTGCCGAGTGCCACCCAGTCTGGCACTCGGCAAAGAGGGTTTTTTTTTTATTTTTTTAAAATTCTTTGCCGAGTGCCATACGTCCTGGCACTCGGCAAAGAGGCTCTTTGCCGAGTGTCATTTTTAACACTCGGCAAACCATATTTTTTTTTTCATTTTTGACCTCCAAACTTTTTCTGCAGTCCTCGTACAATAGCTGGTACTCCATGTTCCAATGTGGCACATTTCTTGAACTTTTTCTATATTTCTTTAATTTATTTCATTTAATTGAATTTTCTTGGATAATTCAAATTATAACTGCTAGTCATTCGAATAATGAAAAAATGAATGAAAAAATGATATTCATGTTATTTAGTATAATGTGAGGCTGTATCCAGGAACAAACCACCAATTTCGAACATCTTGTTTACAAAACATGACCATGAACTTGCGGTCGAGTTGTCTTTAAATTCAATAAAAAGCAAACAAAGCCCGAAAATCATGAAACTTGTCGAGATGTCATGATATCATATGTGGAGGCTGTGATAAAAATGACACTCGGTAAAAAATATGGTTTGCCGAGTGTCAGGAGAAGACACTCGGCAAAGGGTTAATGGCGGCTACCGGCCGTTAATGGTGGCGGCCCTTTGCCGAGTGTCAGGAGAATAACACTCGGCGAAGACCAGTTTTGCCGAGTGTTATTGTTTGCCGAGTGCTCGATACTCGGCAAACCACCTCTTTGCCGAGTGTCAGGAGAATAACACTCGGCGAAGACCAGTTTTGCCGAGTGTTATTGTTTGCCGAGTGCTCGATACTCGGCAAACCACCTCTTTGCCGAGTGCTAGTTGTTTGCCGAGTGCTTTCTCTCTGGCACTCGACAAATAACCTCTTTGCCGAGTGCCCGATAAAAAACACTCGGCAAAGTCTAGGACACTCGACAAAGAAGCCGTCTCCGGTAGTGGGTCACATAAATTTAAAATCTGAGATCTAGAATCTAGATGCATGGTCACGCATCCATCCATACTGCCCCTATATCTCGTTTTCAAAATGCCGTGGGTAACACGCTTGGCGTACGATCTTTTTTTTTGTAAAGCACAATTGCGCACAATAGGCGTCGTGGACCTCTTGTATCTGTATATATTACTCGTGCCCAGACCGCATTACAGCATGTAACAAATCCTTCAAAGTTAAGAAATGGCGGCAAGGTCATCCATGCTCGTTGTTGTGATCACCTTCCTCCTCGCCGCTCCTCCGGCCTTCTCGGAACACGGACGCTTCCGTGCCACCATGACCCGTACCGAGCCGGCCATCAACTTAACGCGGGCCGCACACAAGTCCCACAAGCGGCTGTCCATGCTCGCCGCCCGGCTTGACGCTGCCTCAGGGACTGCGCAGACCCCGCTCCAGCTTGACAGCGGCGGCGGTGCGTACGACATGACCTTCTCCATCGGCACGCCACCGCAGCAGCTGTCGGCCCTCGCGGACACCGGCAGCGACCTCATTTGGGCCAAGTGCGGCGCGTGCACGCGGTGCGTACCGCAGGGCTCCCCTTCCTACTACCCAAACAAGTCGTCGTCTTTCTCCAAGATGCCGTGCTCCAGCGGCCTCTGCAGCGACCTGACATCCCAGTGCAGCGCCGGTGGCGCCGAGTGCGACTACAAGTACTCCTACGGCCTTGCCAGTGATCCGCACCACTACACACAAGGCTACCTGGGGAGCGAGACCTTCACGCTCGGCAGCGACGCCGTGCCGGGCATCGGCTTCGGCTGCACTACCATGTCGGAGGGCGGGTACGGCTCCGGCTCGGGCCTCGTCGGCCTCGGCAGCGGGCCGTTGTCCCTCGTCTCGCAGCTCAACGTCGGCGCCTTCTCCTACTGCCTCACCAGCGACGCCGCCAAGACGAGCCCGCTCCTGTTCGGCTCCGGCGCCCTGACGGGCGCCGGTGTCCAGTCGACGCCGCTCCTGCAGACATCCACCTACTACAGCGTGAACCTGGAGAGCATCTCGATCGGCGCCGCGACGACGCCCGGGACCGGAAGCAGCGGCATCATCTTCGACTCGGGCACCACGGTGGCGTTCCTCGCGGAGCCGGCGTACACGCTGGCCAAGGCGGCGGTCCTGTCGCAGACGGCGAACCTCACCATGGCCCCCGGCAGGGACGGGTACGAGGTCTGCTTCCAGACGTCCGGCGCCGTCTTCCCGTCCATGGTGTTGCACTTCGACGGCGGCGACATGGATCTGCCGACGCAGAACTACTTCGGGGCGGTGGACGACACCGTCAGCTGCTGGATCGTGCAGAAGTCGCCGAGCCTGTCCATTGTCGGCAACATCATGCAAATGAACTTCCACATCCGGTACGATGTGGAGAAGTCGATGCTGTCCTTCCAGCCATACAACTGCGACAATTTATGAAGAATTGAGGAATACAACATCACTCGCCTCTCTCTGCTGGTCATTTCGTATACTCGTATTAGCTCATGTTGCATCACTGGATATACGTTTCCACGCAGGGCACGTACACGCATAATTAAATAGTACTCCTAGAATAAATCAGCTGCTTAGTACAGATTGAAAAACATGGCTTGGTGATATCAGAATGACACAAAGATTATATTCTGTAGGTATGGATCTTATTTTATATATTTTCTGGAGAATAACATCATCATGATGTAATGGTTTCATAGAGTTGTTTGAAGCGTGAAACACAATAATAATAATAATACCGCTCCTCCCCTGTCCTAGCCTAGACTCGATATATTTGGGCCCTGTTTAGGGCTCAGCGGTGTTTCAGGCTTTTGCTTTTATGGTGTCACAGCCATCATAATTCGGCCCAATTAAGTTGCTGGCTGACGTAGGGCAAAGTGATCAAGGGCAAATTGGGCTTAAATGTCACTTCATCCATTCCAAATTGTGAGTCGATAGTGTTGCTGGGTTAAGCCACTACACGACAGTGACGTTTACATATCACTGTCGGTTTTTTTATAAAAACTCGATAGTATTTTTGTCGGTCATTGGATCCATCTAACTATCGCATCAGTTATTCTTTAACGTTAAACCCACCACCATTGTTCTAGATCTAGATTGTAAAAGCAGCATCCGAACGCTTTACAATGAAAGATGAGGTCCGTCCTACTGGGCGACTTAGTTGCAAGTAGTGGCTGATCCAGCGGTGGGGCTGGGCTGCATGGGGGGTGGGGGGATGGGGCTCAGCGGTGGTAGGGGGCTACACTTTACCATCAATCCAACGCAAAGGCTAACACCGACTGGACGTAGGGCTATTATTCGATCACGGTCGAGGGCCCGAACCAGGATAAATCGACTATCTCTTGCGTTTACCGTCAAGTTCTGCATACGCCGAAGCCCAAACAAACTGCCCCGGGTACCCCCGTGGCAGGCTATCGGTGGTGAAACATTGACAACATCCAAGAGTTCCTGTACTCCATCTTTTACAACAACAACAAAACAAACATTAAAGGACTACTTATTCAGATATATATAAAAATGAATCAAAATAATAATTACTTGAGAATAATTGTATATACTTCAAATATATATGAATATAAATCTAATATAATTACATGAAGCATACAAACACACCATGGTAGAGGAAAATTAATTAATGGCCCAATTATCCATAAATAATTAAAATACTTATTTATTGATTACAATAAACAATTTCAAAGACAACAATTAGCAACAATTATACTTTACCTAATATCTTTCATACAAACCCTAGTCCAATTTTATCAAAAATAAATTTACAAAAATGAAATTAATAAAAAAAACCAAACCTTAGATCTAGATCCACATGCACATGAAACATCCATAAAACTAACTAATTGTTCACTAAAATCAAGAAACATGGACCAAATAAGGGTATGATCTTGTTTCCCTCCCTAATTTACCCTAGTACATTTTATATGTGGGTGACCCGAGGAGAAAGAAGGTGCTCCAGCTGTTTTATATGTGGGTCATTTGTAGCGGCGGCTGGTGATTGAGCCGTCCCTACAAATCCGAGCTATGTATACGGGGGCATTTGTAGGGGCGGCTCAATCACCAGCCGCCCCGGCTGGTGATTGAGCCGCCCCTACAAATCAGACCCTATTTATAGGACGGCTTATATCACCAGCCGCCCCTGCTGTTCCATTTGTAGGAGCGGCTGGTGTTTGGGCACCCGAGCACGTCACTGTAGGAGCAGCTCCATCACCAGCCGCCCCTACAAAAAAAAATCAAACCGTTGCTAAAAATCATTTTTTACGTAGTGTTTGTGTCCGGTTTTCCAAATGCCGTGGATAAAACGTTGCGCGTGGTCTTTTTGTGTAAAGGTAAATCACGTATGACTGTACACACTTGGCATCGTGGACTCCTGAATCTATATATTCATACTCGTACCTAGCCATCATCGTCGTCATCATCGGAGCAGGTAGAAATCCTTTGATGTCGAAAAATCCCTATTAAAATTATGGAATTCTTTTAGTATTTTTAAGTAGTAATAAAATATTATTACTAATCATATCATAAGAAAATTTTACTAGGAGACATTTAGTAGGGAAAATTTGTACTAAATTTTAAATGCCAAAACACTAGAAAAAAACCCACGTCACTAGCAGAAATCTAAAATTCTGGTTGTGAATGGTGACGACAAGATCGTCCATCCTCGTTCTCGTGGCGATCTGCTTCCTCCTCGCCGCTCCTCCGGCCTACTCCGAACGCCGAGGCTTCTTCCATGCCACCATGACCCGCAACCAACCGGCCATCAACCTAACGTGGGCCGCGCACAAGTCTCGCCAACGGCTGTCCATCCTCGCCGCCCGGCTGCTTGACGCAGCAGCCTCAGGGTCAGGGAGCGCGCAGACGCCGCTGCAGATGGACAGCAGTGGCAGCGCATACGACGTGACCTTCTCCTTGGGCACGCCGCCGCAGAAGCTGTCGGCCCTTGCCGACACCGGCAGCATCTGGGCCAAGTGCGGCGCGTGCAAGCCGTGCGTGCAGGAGGGCTCCCCTTCCTACTACCCAAACAAGTCGTCGTCTTTTTCCTGATAGCTATGATCAAATGACGACCCTGGTCTGCGCTCTTGGATTATACTAGCAGTTAGGTACAGTATTAAAAAAAGTAGGAACGCGTACCTTTTGGAATTTGGTCACTAACTGTTTACTCCGTAGGTCCAATGTTTTTAAGCGCAATTGGGGCCGTTTAGTTCGCCCGAATTCGGGCGAGGAGTCCAGAATTGAAGAGTGTTTCGGCCTTCTTAACTAAACAGGCCTACAAACTTTGGACCGCCCAAATTCGGCCGTGGACGTATACCCCCGCCGACGACCGCCCCCATCCTCTCTCGCTCATTCACACTCCTCAGCCACACTCCCAAACCCTAGCGCCAGCTCCCTCTCCCGTTGCGCCGCTCTCCCTCTCCCCCGCCGCTCCTCTCGCCGCCTCCGCTCGAATCCACCGTTCCACCGCCAGATCCACCCCATTATCGGTCGGATCCATTGCGTCCGCTACCGGATCGACCACGGTTGACCCCGTCGTCGGCAATGGACGGCTTCAACGGCGAAGGGAACGGCTCGGAGTTCAACGTCGGCGCATCCGACAATGGCTCCGAGTTCGACCTCGCCGGATACGACAACGTCTCCAACTACTACGACGGCCGCCGCACAAGGAACCTCTTCTCCCTGGCGCCGCCGGGCTCCAGATCCGGTGACTACAACTCATACACCTCCGTGCCGCCTCCGCTCTCGTCGTCGACCATCCCGTCCCCAGGTGAGCTGCGTATGTCTGGGCTCAACGTCAACGCAAGCGAAGGTTGGCCAAACATCGACGCCTACGAAGGCATCCTTCGCTCCGGCGACCAAGCGGGCGGAATCGGCAGCAGCCGGGGCCCCCTCCCGTCCGCGTGCCTCCCTGCAGCGGTGGGGTGCACACGGCTCCCGTTCATCGTCAGCGCCAACCTGCATCTAGGTCGCGCGGTGCTCGTCGTCGCAGCGCGGGTCATGCAGTGGCCGGCGACAACAACCCTCCCGTCTCGGTACATCTCGCTTCCCATTTGCACGTTTCGAATCGACGTTCTGCCTTTGTGTTTACATTTTTCCCTACCATGTTCCATGCCTCCATTTGTAATGCTTACTTTCATACGAGGTATTGTTCATGCATTGCTTGTCCATTACAATGTCCACAGAATGAGATAACCAGAGCAAAGTGGAACAAAGATGATACTAAGAAGTTTTGTGAGATTTACTGCACCCAAATTGTTTTGGGTAACTGCAAGAATGGCAACATGACCAAATGGGGGTGGAAAGATGTCCAGGACAGGTTTCGAGCTGCGACTGGTAAGCTTCATGACAGTGAGCAGTTCAGGCATAAGTACAGACAGCTGAAACAGCTTTGGCTTTTCATCGAGGACCTTCGGCACAAGGCCACAGGCTTGGGAAGAAGAGAAGATGGCTCTGTGGTTGCTTCTGACAAGTGGTGGGAAGACCATTGCAAGGTTCATGAGATCTATACTCATCTATTGTTCCTCTGTGGTTCGCATCTATTATTGATTCTGACAGTACGTGGTTTGTTGTTTGCAATGTAGGGGAAGCAAGACTGGATGGAACTCAAAGATGGATGGCCAGAATACATTGATGAACTGGACCGCATGTTCGCTGGAGTTGCCGTGAACGGAGAGACATCATTTGTTCCTGGGGTGAGCCGCTGCCTTCACTACGTTAGCAGCGGCAAAGAAGAAGCAGATCATGACCAGGTCACCCCTCTGAGCTGTGCAACCCCAGTCAGCTCTGGAAGCAAGAGGAGCAGCAACACTCGCAGCGATGCATCATCTCCCAGCAAGAAGTCAAAGAGTGCAGCTGTTCGGTCCATGGATGCCAACATGAGCAGGTTCAACTTCAGTTATGAGAACAGGACCGCAATGATGCAAAACTGCTGGAAGGAGAGGCAGCAACAGGTTGCGGCTCTTGATGAGGAGAAGAACATGAAGAAAGAAGAACAGAAATTGGTTGCGGCTGCAGCAAGAGAGGTTGGGGCGCACAAGATCCAAGGGTTGTGGGTTGGTGTCATCAATATCTGCAAAGATGACGATGCCAGGACTGTCTTCCTCAAGACACCTATAGAAGCAAGGCTTGAAGTCATTAAGCACTATGCTGGGGTCGGAAACTAGAACCATCTATCCATGCATTTCACCTAAAAGTGACTGTAGTTGGCATGATGAACTATGTCTTTTGTGTGTGCAGATCATTAGTCCTATATGAACTATGTCTTTTATGTGCGAGGTTGTGATGAGGAACAATGTCATTAAGCCCTTAATTTGCAGCATGGTTGTTAAACTAAGTTCTTAAGCTCATTTTTTTATATTGATTGCCTGTGTGAGGTCATGGTATGTTTGAATTGAGGTAGCCTTGCATGAGTATAGTGGGTACCAACAGTTTTGTACTGACTGTCTGTGTGTTCTATTGCAATGGCCAGGAAGTTGTTCATCAAGTTAATGCTCAAGTGGATGATGACGACGACTGGTGGGAGGAGTTTTGGAATATGCTGCTAGAAGATGATGATGAAGCAGCATTTATCTATGGTACGTATGACTACGCTATACATTTGGACAAGTATTGCAATAGAGCTGAGTATAGGAAGCCACAATATACAGGTGAGGAATGGGTACAAAACAAGCTTGCCAATCAAACTGCCTGCTACAACATTTTTAGAATGAGTCCCCAAATGTTTTATAGTCTGCATAGTTTGTTGAGTACAAACTATGGCCTCACATCCTCAACCAAGTCTACCTCTATTGAGGCTCTAGCAATATTCCTTTGGATACTTGGGGCTCCACAATCAGTTAGGCAAGTAGAGGACAGATTTGAGAGATCACTAGGCACTATGCACAACCTTTTTTACAAAGTCCTCAGTAGTGTGTTAGACCTATCTACCGACATCATTAAACCTAGGGACCCAGATTTTACAACAATGCATCCTAGGGTCCAGAATGCTAGGTTCTATCCTGAATTCAAGGGTTGCATAGGGGCAATAGATGGCACTCACATTCCTGTGGTCGTGCCAAGTGATAAATTTATGCAGCACATGTGTCGGAAGGGCAAGACAACCCAGAATGTCATGGCCGTTTGTGACTTCGACATGGTCTTTACTTTTGTCCTTGCTGGCTAGCCTGGATCGGTGCATGACATGAGAGTGTTAGATGATGCACTCACAAAGTACAGAGATTTCTTCCCTAAGGCACCTAGAGGTACACACGTTGCTGCTAGTTCAATACTGTTGTCTAATTGAAGCTTGTTAAACTTACAGGTACTTACTGCTGCAGAGAAGTACTACCTGGTGGACTCGGGGTATGCAAACCGCCCCGGGTTTCTGTCTCCTTACCGGCAGACCAAGTATCACATCCAAGGCTTTCAAAACGCCCCTGAACCGCAAGGTATTAAGGAGACATTCAATTATGCGCATTCATCTCTTAGAAATGTCATCGAAAGGGCGTTTGGAGTGTTAAAGATGAAGTGGCGCATATTGTTTAACATTCCGTCGTATCCATCTGAGACACAGACACATATAATAGTTGCATGCATGGCGTTGCACAACTTCATCAGGATGAATGGTGACTTTGACGGTCACTTTGCTATGGTAGACAGCAATGTCAACTATGCGCCTGTTGAAGCATCTATGGATCAGCCTGAGACAGAGCCTACTCCAGACAGTGCGGACATGGAAAGCATGAATGCATTCCGAGACAGGCTGGCTCATCATTTGTTTAATAGGTCGTGAATAATCTGAGATTGAGATGTAATTTCTTATGTACTATCGGAATGTCTGTAACAATTTTCGGCGGATTTTACTACATTTTACTTGAGTTTTTGAATATGCAATAAAGTGTGTAGAGTTACAGTTCATGCGATTGTGCATGCAAAATCTGGTTATGCAGATGTTTCAGTCTGTTTGGGGGTGCAAAATCTGCACATTTCAGTATGCAGAATCTGGGTACACAGTAACTGCAAACTTTGGGGCTGCAGAATTTGGAAACTAAACAAGGGCTTGGTTATTTTGACGTGGAGACCAGAGAGTTGACCCCATCATGTTGCAATCTGTCTACCCATCACGGCAACACTTCCTGGCTTGGCTGGGCCCAGCGTGTGTCGTTACAGTCCATGTCATATGGTGCCGTTGTCCAAACGCGGATGATAAGTTTAATTCAAACTTACGACTAGGACTCGATGGAGGTATGCTATTACAACTTCTAATTATATTAAGATTTAAGTATAAATTCTTATGTTATCAGGAATACAACTTTTAACTATATAAATAAGGGGTGGAAATCATAGGCATCAACCAAGCCAGCACAAAGGGTTAAAGTCAAGGCCTGTAAAGAGTAATTAGAAGTGCCTAATAGGATTAGACTAGACAGATCTATTGCACTAGATTCTTTGTTTACAGCAAGAATCTACGGTTCCGATAGGTTAAGTAAGGCTGTGAGAGATCAACAATCATTTATACTATTTTAGAGTTGTGTTTATATATAGAACTTCCGGTTGACTTTATCAAAATACTAATCTCTTGTTGTGGTTTCTTCAGCATCGTCATCTAGGATTTTCTATATACTCATCTTTGTATTTCTTGATACGGTGCGAGCTTATTTCATACTTGCAATGTACTTTCAAAGATTTGAGGACCATTGTGTATAATTAGGGGTATCAAATTATGACAAGTGCAATCCGAGCCAAGGTCAGATTGATTTAATTTTGTAAGAAGGTTGACAGGGCAAGTAAGCACGAAATTAAATGATGTCAGGGATGTGAAATCAAGTATAGAAGTTTGACAGTAATTTTTTTTAATGTGGTTGTGTCCCATAATAGATGTGCATATACAACAAGAATTGAATGAAGTTGTTGAGGGCATCAAACTAAACCAGACAACTGATGAAGAATGAAAGAGAATGGAGTAGGAGGTTGTCTATAAAATTTGACTATGTCTCTCCAACGAGGTGATGTACTTATTAATCAAGTATAATTCACCGAAGCTGGTGACGACACTAACTCGTATATATCAA